GAGGCGGAGCTTGCAGTGAGCTGAGATCCGGCCACTGCACTCCAGCCTGGGCGACAGAGCGAGACTCCGTCTCAAAATAAATAAATAAATAAATAAATAAATTTAATGTGATCCCAAACACAATAGCAACAGGTTTTTCTGACCAAACTTGTCAAAATGTTTAGAAAGTTCACCTGGAAAAATAAACAAAAACCAAGTGACATCCTTTAAGAGTAATAGATAGGAAAACTAGACATCCTGATATTAAAAAATTTTAAAGTTATGGTAACTTAAAGAGAATGGTAGCATTATAGAAATAGATGCTGAGATGAGTGAAGCAGAACACAATCAAGAAGCATATAAATGTTTAATATTTTAATGATTATTCAATTTATGTGACAGTTTGCATATTTATTTTTTCAACAAACATCTAATGTATACCCTGCTGTCTGCTAGGTACTATATTATGGCTTGTCAAGGGCAATTAAGACAGTCGCTATCTGCAGTCTAATTTGGAGATGAAGAACATGGACTTTTGAGTCAGATAAACCTAGGATTGAGAATGATGTTACCTATTTGTGAAATGTTCTAGAGGCATGGAATGTAGCAGATACTCAATAAATGTTATTTATTATTACCAAAAGTGGTTAAGAGCTTTAATAGACAGCGTGAACAAAGTATAATGGGGACACAGGGGAAGGAGCAACTGGGAGTGGTATGAACAGATCTAGTGATTTACCAAATGTTAGAGGAAACTGATATTACTTCCTCTAATCAGTTTAATCTGTCTATACCAGCTCTGTCCAATAGACAGTGCAATGATGGAAATGTTCCCTGCCTGTGTTGCCCTATGTAGGAGCCATTAGCCACATGTGGTTATCAAGCAATTGAAATAGAGCTAATGTGACCGAAAAACTGAATTTTAAATTTTATTTAATTTTAACTTACTTTTTAAGAGATGGGGTCTTGCTATGTTGGCCAGGCCGGAGTGCAGTGGCTATTCACAGGAGCTATCATGTCATCCTATAGCCTCAAACTCCTGGGCTCAAGCAATTCTCCCACCTCAGCCTCCCAGGTAGCTGGAGCTGTTGGCACATTGGGACCGCTGCACCCTACTGATTAATTTAAATAACCATGGCTGGGCACGGTGGCTCACACCTGTAATCCCAGCACTTTGGGAGGCCAAGGCAGATAGATCACCTGAGGTCAGGATTTTGAGACCAGCCTGACTAACATGGAGAAACCCCATCTCTACTAAAAATATAAAATTAGCTGGGCTGTAATGCCAGCTATTTGGGAGGCTGAGGCTGGAGAACTGCTTGAACCTGGGAGGCGGAGGTTGCGGTGAGCTGAGATCATGCCATTGCACTCCAGCCTGGGCAACAAGAGTGAAACTCCATCTCAAAAAAAAAAAAGAAATGTAAATAACCGCATGTAGTTAGTAGGTACTGTACTTGACAATACAGATCTATATAAGAGTAATATACAAGCCAAAGAATGATATAATAATTTATATTGTTATCTGGGAACTATCCTGATAGTTAATATGTTGTTTCACCCTACCCCATTCTCCCTCAAAATTTCTAAATTCACTTGATTGTTTTGTAATCCTCTGTTAATAGCTATGTCAGATGAGGACATGTCCATCTCAGGGTCTGCATCTGGGGCCCTATACTGCTGCAGAGACCAGATAGGTTGCAGTCATACAAGCAAGTAATTGCTGGCTGGAAAAAATAGTCTCTGGCAAGCTAGTGCTTAAATAAAACTTGTAGTTGCTTAAAACAATCAAAATATTGGATTGTCTATTGACCTCAATTTCCTTCTTGTATATACCTCCACAGGCTGTCTTTGCTCTTTATCTTTTCTCTTTTAAATTCACCCTTGGTTTTCAGTTATATAAAAATGCTAACAGTAGGGACAGGCATGGTAGCTCATGCCTGTAATCCCAGTACTTTGGGAGGCCAAGGTGGGAGGATCACTTGAGACCAGGAGTTTGAGATGAGCCTGAGCAATATAGTAAGACCCCCATCTTAACAAAAAAAAAGTTTGTTTGTTTATTTTTAAATTAGCCAGGCATGGCGGCATGTACCTGTGATCCCAGCTACTTGAGAGGCTGAAGCAGAAGGATTGCTTGATCCCGGGAATTTGAGGCTGCAGTGAGCTGTGATTGCATCACCCCACTCCAGCCTAGGCAACAGAGAGAGACCCTCTTATTTAAAAAAAAAAAAAAAAGGCTGGGCGTGGTGGCTCAAGTCTGTAATCCCTACACTTTGGGAGGCCGAGACGGGCGGATCACGAGGTCAGGAGATCGAGACCATCCTGGCTAACATGGTGAAACCCCGTCTCTACCAAAAAAAATACAAAAAACTAGCCAGGTGAGGTGGCGGGCGCCTGTAGTCCCAGCTACTTGGGAGGCTGAGGCAGGAGAATGGC